AGAGTTGTGTTTAGGCAGATTTGTACCTGACATGACACTCAAACACTGGCATGGTGTGTTGGGTTTGGATGGTGGGCTGAAACCATGACACCTGTAAAAGAATACTGTAGTGAAAACAAAACTCTCTTCACAGTTTGTTCACATCAGCTTTGAAAGCTTTCTTCTGAAGGAGTAGGTTTAGAATACAAATCAAAGAATCGCTGTCTGTATTGGGCCCTCTCTTCAAACATCCACTTTCTGAAGCGAGAGCACTTTCTGCCGGCAGGCACTGCGCTGCGTACAAGGTGGCGTTGCAGACCGAGCCAGCAACAGGACTGAAAGTCACCACCCACACACAGATCTTTCACTTTCTTGATCAGACCACTTTATTGCCCTCCTGTAACCAAGTGTAACCAGTAGGATCCAAGAATGTCAGACAAGATACACGTTTCTGTAATGCCTTTTATCCCTCTCTAACAGGTACTCTTACAAGGAATGGCCAATACCATGGCACTTGAACACCAGATACAAAAAGAGGAGATTCTTTTACTTGCCTCATGTGAATCACTTCATCAGGTAAAACCACTATTTTGACACTGAAAGTTATTTTCTGTTCTGTTCCTTCGTCCTCCTTTTTCCACTTTGCAAGGAAAAAATAGTAGTGATCTTGTTGCTCCGCTGTTTTTATAGCTGGTGGACTGAAAAGGCAGCTTTTGAAAAGTTACAGCTGGCGCTCTTTCTTTTTTCTGTTCCCACCTTAGTTAAGAGCTTGGTGATCTATGAAGCTGCACTGTAAAAGTCATTTTATCTACAGAGTACATAAGATCCTCCCGGAGGTTGAATTCTTGTAGAATTCAAAAGCAGAAGAAACAAACCCCAGTTTGCTCTGCAGGCTTTTTTGCTTTTTGAAAACAAATTCATACTGGTGGTTAAATGCTGGGAGCTTCTAGTTGACTGGGCGCGTGAGCTTATTAAGGATGTTCCAAGCTTTCTAGAAATCAACCATGCTAAATTCTTTATTTCAGGCTCAGACTTGAAAAATCTTTACTTAGAAGGGCGAGAAGGAAGAACCTCGAGAGGACGAGGAGGAAGGTCTTGGAAAGGAAGTTCCCTCACCTTGCTGAGAGGTCTCAGAGCCAGTAACGTGCTGGAAGGGAACTGCAAGCAATTGGTCGAGTTGCTGGAACCTGAAACAAGTTCTGAAGCCAGCAAACAACTCGCCTGAGCATTCCTGAGTGTCTCCATCTTCTCTTTTTCTTTTTTTTTTTTTTAATCCCACATTTGACCTAAATTAAACTTGTGATCTGGAATTAAAAAGCAGCCTTGGTGTGTATCTCACATCAATCCTGCCAGTGGTTTCTAAATGTTCCAAGAGTGATGTGTTAAGCAGCTGCTCGGCAGGGGAGACGCACACGGCTAACAGCGACGAGCAGCAACTGACTGCCGCTGGGTCGCGTTCACCTCGTCTGCGTTTAACGAACGCGCCTTGAAACCCGCACGCCGCTGAAGCCCGCTGACTGGCCTCTGTGCCTCGCCCTCCAAGTCGGTGCTCTACCGCCTGCCTGACTTGGGCTGTCTGCCTCTAAGCGGGGGAAGGCACCCTCTCCGGTCTGCTCTGAGCAGCTTTTTCCCTGCCCTGAGCCTGGCTCGTAAGCACGCGGGATGTAGTCAGCACTCCTCAGACCTAGGTTCCCCGTGACCGTCGAGCACTTGTGCAACGTGTGGTTGAAGCGGGCAGAGCGTCTGAAGGGAGGCGTGGTAATAGTCTTCCATGAAACTGAAGTAGGAAGCTGCTCCTCTCAGCTGATGGTAAATGCTTCGTGGGAGCTTTACACCTGCAGATGAGGTCGTGTGCAAGTTCACAATTGAGACACAAATCCAGCTTTTTGAGGAAGCAAGTGTGCTTTGCAATAACTTCTGATAAAACCCTGGAAGCTCCAAGAGAACTGAAACTGTAGGAGACAGACGTGTTGATCTCCCTCACCTTGGGTTACTCCTCTGCATCACACAAAACACTTTTCTTACACAGAAACTCCCTCCAGCGGTGAGAAAACCCCAGGAAGAGTTTTGCTCTCTGGCTGGCGCTAGAACACTCGCATACACCCATCAAACCGCCCTCCTTTATAGGAAGATGGTGAAGGTAGAAGGTGATTAGCCGTAATGAAACTTCAGCACCTGACACAGGAGGAAAGCCTACAGCGCAGGGTCGGACCAGGAACTCTGTATCTTCACCTCCAGTGAGTGCCTGTCACTCACTCCACACCTCACGGGTGCCACACAGCACACCCCTCGCTGCATGCTACGGCGCGCGTTCGCCTGATGTTCCACCTTCTGCTGGGATGCAAACTATACTCAAGTCTTTCTTCCTGCTACCGTTCCTATCGGATGGTAGGAGCCAGTGCCGCGCGTCCCCTGTCATAGCTGACAGAAGTCTCCCTCGTTCTGTGAGAGAAACAGTTTGGGAAGAGCTTTGATCATCTGGAGCAAGCAACTTGGCCTCAAGAGCAACCACTGGTTCTCAAGATAAGACAGAAGCAAGTTGTTTTGATAAATTATTTTATTGTTAGAGGTCACATGGAACTGTTTTCAACTAGAGGCCTCATTATTTACCCACAAGGTCTTTTAGGATAGGAAAAACGCAGCAGTACTGTTTACATTTATGTTTTTTAAAATCACTTAAATGCTATTTGGTTTTCCACACCTTTTAAGGTAAGGAGCAAAACTTCACCGACAGACCAAAACTCCCCCGACAGAACAGCACACAGCTGTACATGAAGTGTAACGACAGCATGGAGCTG